CGCCGCGGCAGCACCGGGCAGGGCGCGGACCGCCTCAGGAGCAGCGCGGCGGCCTCTTGTGTGCGTGTTGAGCGATGTCGTGCTCAGCTGTTGGTTGTCGCCTACGTAATTGTTAATTTCCGTGCAAAAATTATAACTAACTAGCTGCTATCTGTAAGGGTCGTTCGGTACTGGTAGAGCGAGTTGTTCAGGCGAGCGTCCACCTTTCACAAGTGCGGAACGCTGCATTTTGGTTCCGGCCAGGGAGGCCTGTGTCTCTGGACTTGGCGGAAGCTACTGGCAGTTACCTTCAGGCACCGTAATTAATGCCTTCTTTAGGCTGAAGCAATGAGCAGAAGCAGGTTGTGATATAAAATCATCCAGCGTGTGCTGCTACCGCACCCCCCCATCTTGTGTGTGAGATCTGAGGAAGAGAGCCAGCTTGACTCCTTTTGGTAATCGTTATGGCTTCTCTGCAACAATAAATACAGGGAGACACACCTTTGTGTCTAGAAGTAAGCAGGTGGAGATATCAAGAGAGATTCCATGTGCTTGAATGGAGTGTTGTAGTTAACTTTGTCATGTTTATGTCAAAACGCAATTGAATGTCTGTACTTCCTGGTCTTCAGAGAGCAAAGTCAGGGGAACTCGGCCGTCATGGCAGGACAAATGATATCCTAGGGCGACCTTACTGCATGAACAAGTGCTGTTTTGATGTTTTGTTTTCCATTTACAAAGGCAGGCTTCGAAAAGGTTTTGTCACACATTTGTAACTTTCAAGTCATCTTACCTCACTGTAATGCCACATAAGTAATGGACTAGTCTCTTCAGTTAAAAGTAATGTGAACAGTCACCAGCCGAGTCACCTCATATTGATAAGAATATAAATGTCTTGAAAGCAAGTAATGCAGGGTTTTGTTCTTTTTAAAATATGGCAGTTATTCCACCTGTTTCACTAGCAGTTCAAAGGCTGGAAACCCGTGGTCTAAATGCTAATTGTAAATATTAGGGGAAATAGGAACAAGTCATGTTATAAAGCTGATAACTAATATCGTTGGTGTGCATAGGATGGTGAAAATGCATCTGCTGAGGAAAACACTGAAGATGTAGAGGCTCCATCTTCATCCAGAAAAGCATCTGGGAAATCCAAAAGTCAGGATGAAACTGACGGTAAATGTTAACATCATAATTTCAGTGAAAAATCTATTTAAAAGGTTATTGAAAGCATCTTCTCTTTGATATCTGACTGTTTATAAATACCTGCCTGCTTCTTTTGAACCTATGGGTATTGAAGCACATTGTAGAATCACAGAATGGTTTGGGTTGGAAGGCACCTTAAAGATCATCTAGTTCCAACCCCCTGCCATGGGCAGGGACACCTTCCACTAGACCAGGTTGCTCAAAGCCTCATCCAGCCTGGCCTTGAACACATCCAGGGATGGGGCATCCACAGCTTTTCTGGGCAACCTGTTCCAGTGCCTCCCCACCCCCTCTGGGAAGAACTGCTTCCTGATATCCAATCTAAATCTCCCTGCTTTCAATTTAAACCCATTCTACCCTTGTCCTGTCACTACAGGCCTTTGTAAATATTGCCTCTCCAGCTTTCTTGTAGAACCCCTCAGGTAGTGCCATTGTTAGAATGTACATCTTTGTAGGAACTTCAAAGTCATAGCCAGGGTTTTAGCTTTGTTCAATGCATTTAAGGGGCTGGATCTGGCCAATTGGTCATCTTTTTCTGGGAAACCCTCCATTTTTCCCCTTCTGACTTCTTAATCACATGGTCTCAATTATTTACTCTCTCTAAAATTACAAATAATTTGAAGTTTTTAACTTAACTGAAAAGTCTTCATCTGTTTTATTCTGGCTACTTACCTGTTCATCTCTTTGCTAGGCTTTTCCTGAGACTTCAGTGTTTCAGAATATTTGATTCTGCTGTGTGAGTGTTGCATGCTTCCATTGTCATCCAAAGTGAAATGAAGTAGCTAAAAAGAGGAGATTCTTTTATTTCTTTCATTTTTTCTCCTGCTCACTTATCCTTTGGCCTGTTTAGAGTGCCTATATGTATTTCTCTCCTTATTTTCTGGGGGATATTCCTAGCTACAGATTCCCTGTCTGGCTTTCTTTGTGCAGTAACTGGAACGGTAATATCTCCTTAGATGCCTTAGCAAAATAAGCTTAACTTCCCTGTGCTTCCTACAAAGAGAAAGGACTTGCAGGAAGTGGTAGGAGCAGCACTTTTCTCTTCAGTTTGTATCAGTGCTTGTTGATCCTGTGCCCCTTTTGCTCTTACTAACAGAGAACACAGAAGTCTCAAGAACAGTCAGAATCAAGGAAGCATTAATCATATTAGTCACTGAGTTGCTATTAAAATCCGTCCTAGGATATTCAGGAGGAAAATGTTAGATTGTTAAATGGTCATTGTTAAAATCACTTTTGCTATGTGAATCTTCAGAGCTAATCTGCTACAGTCTTTAAATGATTCCTGCAGCCAAGGATGCTTAATATCCATGTCAGAATATAAATAACAAAATATATCCAAGTGAGAAAAAAATAACCCTAACCTCAGGTGTATTACCCAATTCCCTCTCGTATATAGGCAATATGTGATAGATTTCTTTTTCAGTCCCAGTGTGATAGTGTGGTGGTTATTTTATCAAATCTTTAGATGCCCAATCCCCCGGCTGAGACCTCTGAACACTACATGTTTTGATATTTTTCAGAGGTACAGACTTGTGGGCAGTTATAACTTTGGGTCAACTTTGTAATGGAAAGTTGTAATTAAAAAAATGTGAAAAATTTTAAAGTTGTATGCTTTAAGAATATTTGGTTTGGATATGTTGCATCATATTGTTATTTATGGTAAAGAATTCTGTTGTTTCTTTTTCTGGAGAAATGTGAATAATCTGCATTTTGCATTTACACACACTGAAAGGTACTTATGGTCATGGATGGAATGATTACAATTTCTTGTTCTCAGTTACTTCCAAAAAACGGTTGCTGCATTATCGTTCAGTATAATTGTTTGCTCTCTTAGCCTCTTCAGCTGAAAAGCTTTATTCCATCCAACTGGTTCAGTGCTTGAAAATTGCTTAATATGCTTCTCTTGTGTGGACTGAGAAAAATGTTGAATAAACTGTTGCCTCGCTCTGTGTGTTTCTCCATGCTTTCATTTCAAATATCCAAAAAATGTTAGCGGCTGGGGTATTTTAAGCATTGATGATGAATAATGCAGAGTTTTAAAACCAAAGAGGTGGATAATGGCTTTTCTGCATTTCTGCAGGCCTTTTTCTTGTAGAATAGCTGTTTCAAGTGGCTGCTAATTGTGAAGAATTCAGTTTTCTCTGCACTTGTGCTGATAAGCAGTGTGTACTCTTGATTATATCATAAACCTTTTTCATTTCTTTCTCAACCAGGGGAAACTTCAGATGGTGTCAGTAAATCTGTTCATCGGGTCTTTGCATCCATGCTTGGGGAAAATGAAGAGGAAGAGGAGGATGAAGAGGAAGAGGAAGAAGAAGAAGGAGAGGAAGAAGAAACTACTGAGCAACCCACAGCTGGAGATGTTTTTGTGTTGGAGATGGTACTCAATCGAGAGACCAAGAAAATGATGAAAGCAAGTATTAAGCTTTCATGAAACTTCCCTGTGTCTCCTGAAGCATAGTGCGTAAATGCCAGTGGTGGGATTTTAGCTACCTCCTGAGAAACTTGCGTGAAAGTAACTTGGTGTAGGCTACTTCTGCTTCTGTTGGTGTCACCTGTCTTTGTTCTTTCAAAATTTCTCTCGATTACTGTTTGAAAGCTTTCAAAAATAATGAAGTGAGGTTTTCCCTTGTCTGCATTGTATTTTTGTTGGATACCAGAGTTACTCTGCCGGTTATGACAATTATCAAGTGTTTTGGTCAGACATTTTAATATCGCTAGTACTTAAATAACTTGGTACTAGGTTGTGTTAAGCGCCCGTGTGACTGACGTCTCCTGAATTTGAGCACAGCTGAATCCTCGGTAGCAATAACGTCCCTTTTCCATTTAGGAGAAAAGACCTCGCAGTAAACTTCCTCGTGCCTTGAGGGGTCTGATGGGAGAGGCCAATATCAGGTTTGCTCGAGGAGAACGTGAGGAGGCTATTCTGATGTGCATGGAAATCATTCGACAAGGTGTGTTTAGAACGGTGAAACCTTTTAGCTCCCAGGATGGGGAGAAACTGTTGTGTGCATCAGGAAAATCAGTGTGGGCTGCCCTGATGGTGAAAATACTCAGTACAAGGAAGTCACTGTAGAAGTAGCATGGAATTAAGAATGTGTATTGTCTTTCCTTTATTGTTTTGCTTACAAAAAGAAGCCAGCACCTTAATTCTGGGAAGGCTTGGGCCTTTGCTTAGCTTTGCACAGTTTGCTTTTATTGTTTTAGTACCAAGGTATGAATATCAGTATGACTTCCAGTGTGGAATAGTGCTATAAATTGTTATTAGATTCAGTCAGGCTGTTTAATAATTTATAAAAGGGAACTGGAAGCTTGCCTGAAAGTTGTTTTATTAATTTAAACAGAGCAGTGTTATCTTTCATGTAATTCTGATGCCTGTTGTTTGCAGAAAGACAAGTTACTTGTTTTCAAAGTGTTTTTAAACCAATAGTTTTTAATAATTCTTTTTGTCTTTCCACAGCTCCTCTTGCTCATGAGCCCTTTTCCACTCTTGCCATGATCTACGAAGACCAGGGTGATATGGAGAAGTCGTTGCAGTTTGAACTGATTGCAGCTCACTTAAATCCGAGTGATACTGAGGAGTGGGTTAGACTAGCAGAAATGTCACTGGAACAGGACAATATCAAACAAGCTGTTTTTTGCTACACAAAAGGTAGTGTAGCAACCATTTTAATAGTTTAAAAGAAATGCTGGTGCTAATGGAAATAATTTTGCTTAATTCTGCTTTCTAATTTAGTTTGCTGCAGTTTGCTCAGAATCTGGTACCTCTGTCCAGACTTTGGTAAAAGGTTCATGAATGTTTAATACAAGATGTCCTTTTCTTACAAAAACTTTGTGTGTGTCCGTTCACACTCATCTAGTCAAGGAAATGAATGTGAAATCCATTGTTGCTTTTCCTGAACTAGGCTACTAATATGCTTTTTCTTGTAGCTCTGAAATACGACCCCACGAATGTGCGTTATCTCTGGGAGAGATCGAGCCTATATGAACAGCTGGGGGAACATAAGATGGCTATGGATGGCTACAGGCGTATTTTGAATCTTCTCTCTCCCTCTGATGGAGAGCGCTTTATGCAGTTGGCTAGAGACATGGCAAAGTAAGTTGGATTTTAAAATACTGTGATCTAGTTTTCCAGAGTTGCTCAAAACCTGATGGTTAATAAGCTCTGCAGCTGATTCAAGCTGGGTATGTAGCTGAAATCAGATAATGCAGGTGATTTTGCTGGGAGTGACCTGCTCACAAGCATGCACCCCACAGCTATTGTGATGTTTTCAAAGCCTGACCTGTGGGAATTATCCTGTGTAGGATCAATGTGTCATCTTAGAAGTGTTGCACTCTCTTAGAATAAGAGAATAAAATTCAAATACTGAACACTGGAAAAATGCTAATAGTATACAGTTATATACAAGTGCAGGACATTTTTAATCTATATAATACTACTAGAGACCTGGAAACTTACTGTCAGCAAATCTGAATGAAAGCAAGTGTTCAATCTGAAATATAAACCATCTGCAACAGAATATGGTTTATATGTCATTTGTGATTTGTTTCTGGAGCAAGTATAAGTCTGCTTCCTCCCCTTTTCTGCTAATGAGAGCAGATCAAGTCACAGACGCTTGCCTGAGACAGAGAAGGCTTGTGGTTAAAGCGTGTAGTGCTCTTACCATAGTTTTTTCTAAGTTGTTTAACTACTTTATTTCTCAGCTTTCTCATGCATAACTTGCAGAAAGCTGTTAGTGGCCTGTTTCAAAGCAGTTTAAATCTTTTGATCTTTGTGGTTGTGAAATGCTCCAAAAAAAAATGCAAGGACCTGTGTTGTAAGAATATTATTAATGAAGGTTTTTCTGAAACCACGTTAATGATACCTGGCTGGAGATGGGTGTGATGAGAACCCCAGGAATGACCAAACATAGCGGTGAGGAAAAAATGATAATTATTTGAAATACATAAAAATTGTCAGCGGTTGTAAGGAAAGAAAACACACACCCTTTTCACTGTCTTTTGTAACTTACTCTTGCTAATGAAAATATTTGCTAGCAGGCAAAAATAAAATAAATATTAAATTCCTTCTGCTGGTGTTCAAAGTACATATTGTCAGTTATCTCAAAGACTGAATATCTCATATCTGTGTTTTATAGGAGTTATTATGAAGCCAATGATGTGACCTCTGCTATTGAGATAATAGAAGAAGCCTTTACCAAACACCAGAGCCTTGTCTCCATGGAAGATGTTAACATTGCAGCCGAACTACATATTTCTTCCAAACAGTATGACAAAGCATTGGCGGTATGGAGAATTGAATGTATTCCTGTATCGTGTTCAGCATCTCTTTGCTGGTCAGGATGGACGGTTTATATTCCTGCAGTGCTTAAATATGGTCATGTTTCTACAGTGATAATCAGATACAGATTGCTGTCTATCAGTTCTGTTGTAATTAGCATTGAAATTAATGGCTTGATTTAATAAGTTGGAAGCTGATAGACTTGTATGCTGTTTCAGGTTTAAAATTTTGGGATCCTTCCTTTCCTTCTCTACAATTGCCATAACCTTATTAGCCAGTGAGGACCTATGAGGTGGTTTTGTGAGTACTACCAGCAAAGGACTCTCTCTAGGTTGAAGGTGAAAAGGGTGACCCTAAGTGGTCTAATGGTTCAAATGCAGGCCCTCATGCTCTGATCTGCCATACTTCTGTTATGACTCGTAATTTATGCGTTAAGCATCATGCATGAATTCCAGAAAGGCAATACATCGTGACTCTAAGGCATCGGGAATTGGAGCAGATGGCTTATCTGTTCCAAATTTGTGCTAGTGGCTTTTAACCATCACTTTTGAGGCATGTTTCCGAGTTGATTTGGTGTGGCTTTGAGAGGAAAGACTTCAGTAGCTGGCCATTGTTATGCTTTCCAAGATAGGCTGAAGCGACACGACTAGTTGAGACTTCTCCTTGTGAACATTCTTATTTGCTGATAGTAAATTACCTCTATTTTTTTTCTCTCTAACATTTTATTTACATCTCTCCCTGTCAGTGCAAAGCATCCATCGCAAGCTTGCAAACAATTCCTCTCACCCTTCTCTGTACTTTTCCCCACTTTAAAAAACAAGCAGTGAATTTTATGTATATAGCTGCCAGATTTATTAATAGAGTACTCAGTTGCAGAACTGTTCCCTTGTTTCTTTTTGACGATTCTCCTCGGATCTATTCCTGTGATGGTGCTTCCTGTTCCTGGATAGCTGAATCTGTGTTTGAGCTGGTAAACTGAGCCTTTAAAAGTTAATTATCTCAATACAGTCATCTGGTATGTTCTTCTATAGGGCCATGTACTCTATGTTATCACTCTTGTTTTGGTAACAGTAATGACTTAAATATTTACTTTTCAATCCATGAACAGAAATACCAACCCTCACTGGGTCTTAGACCAACAGTCTTTTACACACCTGCATTTTTTTTTTAACGGAGACAAACCATGCAGTTTCCTTGCAGTGCATTAGGCTGAGGAACCCTTGGAGCACTTTGGAAAGATCTGTGGGGAGCTTAGGTCTTTACCTGGTGCTGTGCTGTCTTTCAGTCTTCTAAAAGGCATTCAAAGAGCTATAAAGGTTAAAAGCTTTTCTAGTTGTGACGAAAGTGACTGCTGTATTTGCTGAAGAGGTTCTGGTTGGATCATCGAAGTAGTCTAAAAATAGTGGTCAAAGACATAAGGTGATCAAAGTCAATACTAGTCAACTCAGCCCATGTGAAATTAATGCAGCTTTTCTTCTGATAACTTTTGTGCTGTCTAACATCACTGCCATGGGGGCTAGTTACTCCATATATCCTTTAAATCTTTGAAATGATCTGTGTTACTCGTCTGTTTTAGGTTATTACAGATTTTGCAGGAATTGTCCTTGAAAAGAAAGTATCAGAAGTAAGTCCAACTGAGGAGAAAAAAGGTAGGAGCTAACAAGCAGTTAGTATGACCCTGCTGTTCATCTAATGTGACATCTTTCTTTCCGTTGCCTTTTCAGCACACGGGTATATTTTGATGTTGACAGGCTTTTCTCTTTTGAAACTTTTCAGTGTTTTTAATGAATTACATGGCATGACCTCAGCTTTCTATAAGGAGTTACTCTGATGTCCAATTAGCCCTGCTGACTCATTAAGGACAAGGACTTCTCTCCAGGCAACTGGAGGCCCTTTAATGTTCTAAACATTCCTCTGAGTGTTCACATAAGATCAGTTATTTCTGCCAGCTAAATAGCTTCTGGAAAAAAATTAGATAAGCTTAGTGGCATCTATACTCAAGAATATCAGCCTTTGACCAGAGACTGATAGTCTTCATAAACTCCACTTCTGTTATTAAACACTTAAACATTTTGGTATATACAAATCTAGGGGCACTAGCTTGTAATTGAACAAAGTAGATTGTCCTTGAGAAACCTGCTTTGTGAAAGTCATCATTTAAGTCTGACAATGTTTCTTTGGGCTGTAGAATGATTGCAGCATGCCAGCTCCGTAAGACAGTCTGTACTTCTGTTGGCTTTTTGTTTTAATGGATCATTTTTAATTGTAAAAATACAATTGAATGACTGTCCTGATACTTTTAACAGATAATTTGTAACAAGCAAAACTATGAGTGGCGGAATTATAATTCAGCGTTGCCTAATTACCTGGGGTGTGTAACTCCTTAAGGCAAAGCTTCTAAACTACCCAAGAGCTTGGTTCCCCACCCTTTGTTGCTTTGGGGTTGGTTTTGGGTTTTTTTGGTTTTTTTTTTTTGAAGGACAGCAGAGCAGGAAGCATTCAAAAAAAGTTAAAGTCCCCTTTTCAGAGTAAGCTACCTATCAGTTCTGTATTCACAAGCAAGTAACTTTTGGCTTAGCTGGTGCTACCACGGTAATCTGTTAATCTTTTTATAAAGATACAGGGGCAGTGGTAAAAACTCAGGAAAGCCAGGAGGCGGTGACTGAGGACCAAAGTCATCCAGCTTCTGAACCCAGCGCTGCAGGTAAGTAATTTCATTTTTTAATTTTGTACAAGTCTGTGAACTGATCATATGCTCAGGAACCAGGCTGCAGTTGTAGAAAAACTGGGAGAGATTTCTGACAGCAGAGAATTAGGGCTTCATCCAGAAAAGGTTTTTTTGTGTGCTGTCTTCTTTTACTTAGAACTCACTTGTAACTCAGCCAGCCACCAAAGCCAAAAGCATTCTCCCAGGGCTCACCCACTTGGAAAAGAAACTTTTTCATTTTGTCAGTAGGTGAACTGTTTCTGTTATGCTGGGCATTAAGTTGTTCAGAGAATTAACAACTTAATGTGCATGTTATGATTTGCAGTAACTGGATGTGGACATAGAAGGGAATCGGGAAACCTTATGTTGGAAATCAGTCTTCTCAGGTTACAACATTCACCTTTCAAATGTCTGGTAGAAGAATTGAGGTGAAGGAAAAATTAAACAAAAATTAAAGATTTAACTCTTTCCTGGCTGAATCCAGCACAGTCATTAAGGAGGTATCATGACTGCATGTAAAGGAAATATAATAGTGGAGGTTTACTGTGTGACCTTTAATTTGCTAGTATTGTCATGGGTAACTACTTTGTCATCAGTTTGCACTGTGTTGTGTAAAACGCTGTAGTTAGTGGAGCTTTACAGTGTGTACAGCAAGAGCCCTGGTGGCACAGGATGGGTTATTAAGAGCAAATATCTTAATGTGGGGTATTGCCTTCAGAAAGCAGGAGGGTACAGGTGTATGAATTGCTAAAGGAGAGCTTTATGAAGCAAGCACATCTTAAGAGGGCGAATGCTCCAAGTACATCCTATGGGATCCTGCTGTTGTACTCGATGCAGACTGTCAGCACTTGATACTTGAGATGAAATTGTTAGGACCAGAGAGAGTTGGAAGAAGTTGTTCCAACTATCAGGAAAGATACAAAGGAAGGGGAGAGGCCCAGCCTACACCAACAGTTGCTAATGTCAACGAGAGTGGAGCTGAAGATGGTCTGGAGGGGATGTGGAGCTTGCAAAGTGCTTGCCTTGGGTTCGGAAAGGAATTCTTTATCTTCTCACAGCTGTGGAGAAAGTCAGCTGCCACATACCTGAGGGCGTTCCCATAGACATCACAGTCAAGCTGATGGTGTGCTTGGTTCACTTGAACATCCTAGAGCCGCTCAGTGTAAGTAGAAACCAACTCAGAAGTTGGGGCGTGTTCTACTAAATTACCAAAGCAAGAAATTTTTCCTGTCTTCGTATGACTGAGGTAATTGAGAGAGCTGTGGGGATTCTTTTTGCTTCCCTCCCGTTCCAAGAGAGACGACTGACAAACCTGTAGTAGCAGAAATCCTGGGTTTTGTCCTTATAATTATGCCTCTGGGGGAAGTATTACTAAAGCACAGTAAATCACAGCCCATGTGCGGTGCGGGCCCAGGGTCACCGTGCAAAGTTGTTCAACACTAAGGAACACATCTCCGCTTTGTTTCAAAGCTGTACTAAATAGGAAGACTGTTCTTTCGTAAAGAGCACTCCTCACTGATGGGCACTTTCACCCATTGGATGTGAAATGTCTAGAATAGGAAAACGTGGCTTTTTCAGCTATTCCAAAATTCAGATCTTTAGTTTCCTCTTTTAAACCAGCATTTAAATAAAGGAAGTGTAGTTCAGAATGCATGTAGAATAAAAATCATAGCATAAAAATGTCAGCTTCCAATGACCATATCTTAAAGAAATGTTCTCCTTGGTTATTTGTGCTTTTTGTGTGTTTTTTTTGAAGCCTCTTTTGACCACTCTGGTGGAACAAAATCCAGAAGAAATGGGTGACTTGTATTTGGATGTTGCAGAGGCATTTCTGGATGTTGGAGAATACAGCTCAGCACTGCCTCTCTTGAGTTCCCTCGTCTGTTCGGAACGATACAACTTGGCTGTTGTCTGGCTTCGGCACGCGGGTGAGAAGAATCAGGAATGCTGAACACGTGGCGCTAAGAGATGATAATACAGTGCTGAGCATTTCCAGGGACCCTTACCTGAGATCACTGGAATTTTAGATTCACATGTTGAATGATAACTGGTATTTGCTAAACTGTAATTGGAGTTTATTATGACAGTCATGTCGTGGGGTGTTTTCTTATTCTTCATGTAGACTGAAATTCACTTCAATTAAAAATACTTTATATTCCTGTAGGTGAAACATCACCTATTCTGCATTCCATCCTGTGTCAACTGGTGATGCTTTACCTGAAACTGTGTATGCATCAGTACATGTTTCTGAACGTTTTCACTTTAATAGTACGTCTTGAGTGGTTTTAACTGTAAAACTATCTGAAAAGTATGTTAACTTTTGCAAGCTTTGAAATCTTCTTTTTCTGCCATTTAAGTGTATTGTGTTGTTTACGGTATTTCTAGAGTGCTTGAAGGCTTTGGGACACATGGAGCGTGCCGCAGAGAGCTATGGCAAAGTGGTTGATCTTGCTCCATTGCACCTGGATGCAAGAATCTCACTTTCAACCCTTCAGCAGCAGCTGGGCCGACCTGAAAAAGCTCTGGAGGCTCTGGAACCCATGTATGATCCAGATACACTGGCTCAGGATGCGAACGCTGCCCAGCAGGTGGGTAAAGTGTTCTCTGCTTCCAGTTTAGCATATGTTATTTTCCAGAGATGTCCACTGTATGGGAACAGGGATGGAGACTTGCTTGGCTACAGCACGGTGAGCCTTTAGGGCACAGCATTGGATCAGTAGACTGTCAGGGATGAGTGTTCGTGGCTCTTTCTCCTTGACCATTTTATCAGTGTTTCTCCTGTCCCACCTGATTACTTCTGTGTGACGTACAAGCTCCTGGGCACTGACAACCAGTCTTGACACCAGTCACTTTGCACCAAGTTGATCGACAGTCGCTACTTATAAGCTACATGGTTTGGCCCCTGTTGGTTGGGGTAGCAAAGGTTCTGTACCCCCTCCCCAGCAGCACCTTCGCTGTAGGTAAGACACACCGAATTGCTCTGAAATTTGAGAATTTGAAACGGTAACTACTGCAGGGCAGTTGAGGGAGATCTTACCTGCTGCTGCTAAGATTCTCACAGCTTTCTAGAAGCTTTTACAATCGTATCAGTACTGTATTGAGTCAAAATTGTTTGTTTTATAAATTTAGTCTCTGTGCAAGGTGTTGAATAATGATGTTCAATATTATCTAGGAATTAAAGCTACTCCTCCATCGTTCGACACTGTTGTATTCCCAGGGCAAAACGTATGGTTACATCGACACTTTACTGACAATGCTGGCAATGCTGCTGAAGGTAAGCCCATCTTTCCAGCTCCCCTTGACAGCTGTGAGTTGGGTTAAGACAAGCGACAAACTCACTCAGGAGGAAAGCTAGGGGTTTTGTAGGCAAATCCTTTCATAATTTGGTTAGATAATAACCTTGTAGGGAGCCTACACTGGTGTTCCTGCCCGTAGTGTTTGGAACAGAGGACCACTTGTGTGTGTGATTCTTAATAATTTTATGAAGTGACTTCAGTTCCCTGTTTCTCAGTGTGTGTAGAACACACTGAATACTAAAGCTGCTTCTTACCGTTTCAGCAGTCAGCAGAGTGCTTTCTTCAAGTGTTGGTACTGCCTTCCATCTCAACAATTTTCTTTTGATTTTTTAATTTTTTAAAAACACTTTCTTATGGTAAAATGACCAAAGGGTGTGTTTCACCAGTAAACGCAGTGGTGGTGGTTTTGTGTTAATTGTTTTTAGTTTGTTTTTAAATAGGGAGTGAGGGAGGGGGATATTAAGGCCTCAAATTTATCCATCTGCTCAGAGTAATTTCTGTTGTGTTGCACTGGTTGAACAGCTGACTACCCACATATTTCTGAAACCGATACAGGAAGGCATTGTTCTTGTTATGCTTCTGTGCAAATAGTTTTGATTTCAATGTATACGGGGATGTTCCAGTCCCGGGAAAAGTTTTTACCTTTCTTCCATGTAGCCCGGTTTGCACGGGAGCATGCGACAATGCAGAGATAACACTTCTCTCGGGAATGTTCTCTCATGATCTTGCTCTGTTGTGGCATTTCTGAGTTTCAGAGGGTGTTGGCCTACAACGCGAGCAAGGTGGATCGGCCATAAAGCTGCCTTTGTCATAGGATGTGTTAATGTAATCTGAAATGCTGCCCTTAAATTTGTTTCTAGGTAGCAATGAGCAGAGCTCAGGTGTGTTTGATATCTAGTTCCAAATCTGGAGAGAGACACCTCTATCTTATTAAGGTGTCAAGGGATAAAATTTCTGACAATGACGACCAAGAGACAGCAAATTGCGATGCAAAAGGTAACAAATGTTTATTAAAAACAAAGCACCAAGATGAAGTCCTTAGTTCTGAAGAATGCAACAGACGTTATTGTTGTGCATGCTAAGTCCATGCAGTTCCTGTTCACATTGCTTTATTGCTTGGACAAAGAAGGTGGCAAAAATGAAGATGCTGTAACTTAGGGAACAATCCCCGTTCAGAGAAAATTAGTAAGATTACAGAATAATTTAAATTGAGAAGGACCTCCAGAGATCGTGTGGTCCAACATTCTCCTCAGTGCAAAGATAATGCAAGCAAGTTTAGAACATAATAGAGATCCATGTTTCATAAGTGGTGTGATTCTTTTACCTGGCCCAGTCTCAGCTGAGCCAGACTACACATTCTTAAGCCCCATTTGGTAGATCAGGAAGAGTAATTTCAATGCCTTCCTGTAGTATGTTTACAACTTGAATGGTGTGTATTTCTCGCCATTTGTTCCCAAGTTTTGACTGTTGTTTTCACTGGTATTTCACAAACTGCACTTAAACTGAAAAAAGTAAATATTTTATTTTTATTTTACTTGTTAATGCTAAGATGTTTTGGAAAAGATCACTTTGACATATGCACCTTTTTTAAAAGTTTAGCTGTCTTGTTTTAATTTTCTTAATTTACTGACTTCAATATTTTTAGCAATTTTTGCTGTTCTCACGAGTGTTCTGACAAAAGATGACTGGTGGAACCTCCTCCTGAAGGCTATATATTCTTTATGCGACCTCTCCCGGTACAAGGAAGCAGAACTACTAGTGGATTCCTCATTGGAATATTACTCATTTTATGACGACAGACAAAAGCGCAAGGAGCTGGAATACTTTGGGCTCTCTGCTGCAATTCTGGACAAGAACTTCAGAAAAGCATACAACTATATCAGGTGGGGTACTGAGAAAGTGGAGCAATCCTTCCTGTAGTTGCTGGAGTCCTGGAGTTCAACAAGGCCAAGTG